ACAGATGTCAGGCTGCTTGATTGGCATTATTTTCAGGTTACATTAATCAATGGAGCCTATTCTGTTTGTTTCCTCAGTTGCAAATTCGGTGTCCGGGGCTCGTCCGTAGCTGCAGCAACTGAGCAAGAAGCAAGGTCGGGGTATGTGTCCAATGCCTCTGAACTTAAGCATTTTCACCAGAGGTGGGAATTCTGTCAGGCTGACAGAAGGTCTATCAGTTCATGACGGCTGACACACAGCTAAATAAATATCCATCCATCCATCCATTGTCTGATCTGCTTATCATCACAAGGGTCGCGGGGCGTGTGGAGGCCTATACCAGCTGTCTTCGGGCAGTAGATGGGGGCTCTGAACTGCTTGTGAGCCAATCGCAGGGGCTAAATAAATACATACTGTATCTAAAAAAACAACAGACCCCCCCCCCCACACACGCACGCACGCACGCACGCACGCGCGCGCACACACACACACACACACACACACACACGCACACGCACACGCACACACACGCACAGCGTGGTGATTAGTGAAATAAAAACAATATGGGACACGTCATTGAGTTCTGTGGGACTGAAAGATATACAACGCTGTTTGATTTGAGATTTTTTTCTATATCTGGTTGCATGTCAGACGTGCAGTCCCTGCGTGTGACATAGTACCAGTAAGACCTTTCTCTACGCCATACTGTTGTTGCCGATGACTCAGATGGACTGGGCCGGCCTGAAATGCTGAAGGAAGCTCACTGATGGACTCAACAGACTGACGATGCCCCCCTCTGGTTTTCACGCATCACTCATGGGCATTTCAGCTCCTTGTGAGGAAATATGGTAGCCACTACATTTGGTTTCAACTGTTGTTTATAGCCAGGCACATCAATGAGCTCTCTCATGAGTTGAGAGCGATGAAAAGCCTCAAATGCGTCTGGGCTAAAATGACAAGCGCACAGCTGTGGGTCTTTTGGCCAGGCAGACTTTGTATCTTGCTTTCTGGAGGCTTACCTCACTTCCTTTATTCTCTTTGCTTGAAAATGACATCCAAAAGCTGCACATTGTGGCATTTTGACAGTAGTGGGCAAATGTTTTGCTTTGCATGGCAGAGGCCAGAAATGTGGGAAGCATCTTATCATGTCGTCATCCCAGAATGCATTACACAATTGAGAAATATGCAGCTAATCCACCTGATCAGTATTGGAATCTGTATCGGCCGATCTCAATCTTGTGTGACCGGTATCAGAATCTGCAGCATAAAATCCTCATCAGAACACCCATAAATTCAATTTTTAACATACTGTATATAGGGGTGTTCACATGGCACACATTTGTATAAATCTGCTTACTAAAGAGAAGCGTGTTAACCCCGGTGCAGCCCCACTTGCGTCCACATGGCAGTTTCTGTGGCGGTGCAATACGGTATAATACGGAAATAAAACGTGCGCATGCGTAAAGTGTACTTCCTTTTCCCCGCCTTGTTTGTGACATATCGAAAAACGATGGTTCTCCTTCTCCAGACAAATCAACACTGTGGTCTATCAGACACTGTAAAAGGATGAGAGAGAGAAAGGAAAGAAGTGCAAAGTACCCAGGATGCAAGTTATGCAATACCCGTATGTAATGAACTCTTCTCACGCATAGCGAGTCAACCCCTGTAGCGTTCACACGTCCCATTTTATATCGGTGCTGCCCCGCAAACTAGCATTTACTCCGGATTAAATTTTTAAACCACCTCCTGAGCAGGGTTGAATTTGCTCCGGTTTAAGCTGTTTTCAGGGGCTACACCGGTATAACATTGTACGTGTGAACGCTCTACGGGGGGCAGCTCCGGTGCTACACCGGAGTAAAAGTTGCCGTATGAACACCCCTTATCTGTAACGTTGTGAAAAAAAAAAATTGTTTTCTTAATTTGGGATGGAAAACAACACAAAATGCAGACGGGTCCAAAAAAACAACAAGTTTATTTTAACCATATTTTGTGTATGTACTACAAACTCTGGTCTCTCTAATCAGCCTCCATATCTTCTGAAAGGTTGTGTAATAATTCTTACATGAAAATCAATCTCTTAGTCCTTTACAGCACTTTGCGTCTTTCGACGGCTGGTTGATACAAGTAAAAACAAAACGAAACAAAAAAACAAACAGCAACAAGAAAAAAAAAACATCACACTGGGCATTGTCCCTTTTAAATGTTGCAGTCTCAAAAATGTACTTTTGTATAAATCTACAACTACATTTCCTCTCAAAAATGCTTATGTAAGAACAGAAATATTTCAATATCTTACACACATCAGGGAGCTTGTCTAAAAGGCATTAAATTGAAACAAAATTTAAATAAAAACAAAATTGGAACCTTAACAGGCTCATGTGAATAACAAGATTAGAACTGGAACATCAACGGGATTAAATAATAAAGAGAATTAGAATTTTGATGTCGTAAATATTCTTTGGCTAACACAAAGCATGTTTTAGGATAATTCACCAAATCATCTGTGGATCTCAGATCAATGAATTAGTCATTCCAAAAAGACATTTGTTTTATGTGCAGCACACTCAAACATATGACTGTTTCCTTTAAATTTGCTAAACATTGCCCTCTTAATGTTAATATCCTGTACACTATTGATACAAACCATGGGCATGCTGGGTAGACTCATTAGCTTTTGCACCCCAAAGTGCTCATAATCTTTATTGATGCGTCATAATCCTTGAGGGGGAAAGAAAATGATCTGTCCTTTAGCAGTAACTAATATTAGCACGGAACCTTGGTAATATTACTTGCTTGGGAGGTCTGAGTTGACGATAAATGGAATGGGATCCAGTTTAAGATGCAACCTTAAAAAACACGTCTTGTGCTTGAAATGCGTGCCCCGGTCTGGTCCTCGAGAGCGTCGATCTAGCCTTTTTTAGATGTCTCCCTCCACCGCTTCTGAAAACCTTTCTGATGAGCTGATCACTTGGAATGGCAAAATGACATCAACTGCTTTTGCATCGTACAACTTTGAGAAATAAATTGAGTTGAGGATTTTTCTGACTGCAAAAGATCTAATGAAAATGATGTGATTTTAATGGGAGTTACTGTATTGCAAATACAACACCTTTTATAGTTCAAGGAACCTTTTGGAGATGTACAATGTCTGTTTGTGTAAAAAAATAATAATAATAAACATTGCATGTACTCATCTGTGAAAGATCTATTCAATATATTTGAAACAAGCATTCGGATCCGTTTATTGTTTTGATTAATTGGTCACTGATTCATCAAGGTTGTATTCACATGTTCGGCAGGATATGTTAAGTATGATTGTTGTGGTCTGGCTGTGGTTGTTTTGGTGAAGTGTAATCTGAATCATTCAAACCTTGGAATACACCAAACAAGCCAGTCTGGGTCACTTGAAGAGTTGTTCTCTTTATGCTTGCTCGTCAACTGTTCAAAATGTGTCACATTCAGCTCAAATGTGAATGCTGCACAGACCGAAGACATGGACCAGCATTAAAATGAAAAAAAAAAAAAAAATAGTTTCAGGGTGTACCATGAATACAGTATACAGGACAGTGGACCCCGCATATTCTCTGATTGGGATCCACAGATTTGCAGATTGTAACATGTCAAAAAAAAAAAAAAAAAGAAAGAGGCAGATTTTTTTTTCTTTCCATTTCTTTTCGTGGAAAACTACTTTTTATAGTATGTATAATTTTACTGTATTGTAGCATCGCTAAAATTGAGGCAATGGTTACTGTCACCTTTAAATAGACCCCAAAATATCAAACTACGGTAGCTATCCAAAAGGCAAGAAGGCTGTTGTGTCTGTTGGTGAAAGCTCCTTGATAGATTTTGTGACAAATGTGGCTGGCTTTCTCTCTCTCTCTCTCTCTCTCTCTCTCTCTCTCTCTCGCTCGCTCTCTCTGTCTCTCTCTGTCTCTGTGTGTGTGTGTGTGTGTGTGTGTGTGTGTGTGTGTGTGTGTGTGCGCGCGCATGTGTGTGTGTGTGTGTGTGTGTGTGTGTGTGTGATATGAATAATATTTATTGTTTTGAAGGGTTTCTTAAAATGAGATAAAGCAGGATTCATCATGACAACAGATTTGTCTGCATGACCAAACCGGCACTGCACCAGACTTGTTGTATAAGTAGACGGACGTTGTACATCGTCACACTCTTTCACCCAATGACAGATCCAGCAGCAGTTTTGTTAAATCTATAATTGACAGCTTGGCTAAATAGATGAACTGGAGTGCTCATGTCTTTAGTGTCTTATAAGAGTTTTATTCATAATTTGCTTTTTGAAGATGGCGCCGTAGTTGGCAGTCGTCTGCAACAGCTCATCAAGAGCTTTTACTTTTTTTTTTTTTTTTTTTTTTGAGTCATATGATGTTTGTTGTGCTTCGTGTGGACCTTTTGTGGACTGTTTTCAGCGTTTTGGCCATGACATTCGTCAAAGGAGAAGCATGTGTGCTTGATGGTAGCTCCTTCTCGGCAGGGCACGTGTATCAGCACTGATTTTTAATGCGGGGAAATGTCGACGCCATTCGACTGTCGCCGCTCAACAGCCCCGGGGTGTTTATTTATTTATTTATTTAATTTCGCCTGTAATGGGCAGAATTTCTCAAAGCCCCGTTTTATTCAGTGGAGATGTCGGTACTGTTAGACAGCCTGCGTTGGTGCGGCTGGATGGATGGCTACTGGAGCTGAGGAGAGAGGCGCAACGAATCTGGAGCGCGGATGCGTATTTGGAACTGAGAGTCGGCGCTTGCAGTTGAACCACATTTACATGAGAAAGGAGAAGCGAACCAATCTCTTATTTCGTCAGTGGACGCTACAGCTTCTTGCTTACTTTTAAAATTAGCCTGTAGCCTACGTGTGGGACGTCATGCGTATGTTGAGAGTGACGTCTCTAAAACACCTGCGAAAGGACATTTTGATTCTCTCCTCTTTCATCCATAACTGCTTCAAACAAGGCGAATGCGGGAATAGGGGTTACGATTGCATGATTGTCCAATGTCTGATGTTACATGTTGTGTTATATTACCGCATTTTGTTATTTTATGTTAACTATTCTGTCGAGCGCTTCGCTACAGCTACAGCTACAGCTGTCGCGAAAGCACGATATGAATAAAGATGTGTTGTATAAATGTGGACTGAATGTGAAACCAGTAGAGGGCCTAAAAAAGCTTAGCAGAGCATTGCTAAACCTATCTACCCCCATTAGTCTGTGTTGGTCCAAAGTGAATCCAGCAGTTTTGGCTTTTACCCAAGTGCTAGTCACTGTTCACAGCTACATTGAGCAGCTGACTTCAGCACCAGCAAAGGCACCTTCAGAAGCATCCGCAGTCGACACCATCATTGTACAGTAACTCTTGTGCTATGCTGTGCCGTGTAATTTTCACAGCTACGATAATTCATCATCATCTTAGTTGTTGTCTGGACAGGGACTCTACATTGTGGATGTGCATGCTTAAGTGTATGTTTTTTCCGGGTACAATAATGTTTGTCAGCATTTGAAAAGCTATTAAAGTGTTTTGGGATTGTAGTTGGTGGTATATGTAAAATTTAATCTACTCATACGCAATTAGGATCATTATTTGTAGGGATGCATCAGTTTCTCGCGAAAATTAGCTATTCGCGGCCTGGCTCAAGGACCCTTTCCTGCAAATTACGAGGGTCGACTACATGACACTTTCATCTCTGCGGCTAGTCTGTTTCAGTGTGATGTGGGCTAAACAGATATGGAAAACAATGTTTTTTTTTTTTTGTTATTTTTTGATAACAGTGAAATATGTTTTGGAAGCTTTGCACATCTTATAAAAAATAATGCAATAGAAAACAGAAGCTAATGGACACCATTTTTGTTTTGTAAATTTGTGCAGTTTTGTCTCGAAATGAATCAAATGCTGCAATATTTTTTTCACACATTGCGTGTTGATAATTCAGTTGTATGTTGTGTTTTGGTTTTGTTGGGGGGACGAAAGTATAATAATGGAACAATAGGTTATTCATCTAGCTGCATCGTTCACTCTTCAAAATTGTGGAGTTGGGGAGGGAGGATTGACAGACAATTGCGGGTTGGGGTGGGCAACCATTCACGATTCTAAGTTGAATATACTTCATTCTAAGTGTCGGGCTTCACCAATTGCCCACCTAGCCCCTCAAGTTGTGGTGCTTGGCATTGTTTTTCAAATTGGGCTTTTAGGATTACGTTACACAATTTTGCTCATGGGCATGTCAATTAAAATGTAAATGAGGCTGTGGGAGTAAGGCAGGTGTAGCATAAACATCTGGCTGATGCCAGCTTCCACACATTTAGCTAAGAAATGTGCTGCACAGGACCGAGTTGTGGCACTGGCAGGGGTGTGGGATGTGTATGTGGAGCTGCCAGGCACTGCCCATGTGCAAATGTGGCACGCGGATTACAGGTAATCTGCTGAGACAGCTCTATAAAGGGTTTAAGATCACCAGTCAACCTGAGAGCATGCAGTTCTACAGCCCTGTAGATGAGATAAGGGGGTACATGCTTTAAAAGGGGAGCTCAGGAAGCTTGGAAACATACGGACAGCAAACTGTGGGCAAAGCATGAAATGTTGGAAACGTTTCAGTCCACTTCCGTGACAGTTTTCTTCCATTTGGCCTTGCGTTTGAGATCTGAGTGGGCATTTTGGAAGATGGGAAATGCAACAAATTAAGTGAGGAGAAAAATTCAAAGCAAGATTTATCACAACTGTGTCATTCTCTTTACTGGGAAAACAACTATCTTTACTGACAATTCCGCTGAACACCTTGAAACAACAGGTAACTTAATATTTATTTCATCCAGGTATTAGATGGTCATAGAATACTTTACCACTTACTCCACAGTTGGAGAAAAATGTCATGTGCTCTGCATTCATTGGGAAAACAAAGTTTATGGTTCACCAAATATAAAGTTTTCTTGTTTCATTTGTTTTGGCTCTATTGTCTCTGAGCATAATCTAAAAAGGAGGAGGCGTGACGTGAATTATGCTTTGAAAGAAAAACAACTGCTGAATATTTTTTTTCCCCTTGATTGAACAACAATAGTCTTTGTTCTTAAATAAATAACTTTTTTAAAGACACTTTTTTTTATAACGGACATATGCTAATTACCAAAGTCCTTCAATGAACATCACCAACCACTGAATTGCCAAACACACATGGTTCGTTCATATTTGAGTCTTGTTCAAATTCCATCGTTTGAGAAAAGAATGTTCAGATTTGGGTCTCTTGCACATTGTCTTTTGAGTTTGCCCGGATTAACAAAGGTTCATGCGCTGAGCTGTGTATGGAGTTGATAGTGGAGGCGTGGTTGTATGCTGTTTTATATGTGTTATAATGGTTGAGGTGCTCATGTTCAAGAGGAGGCAAAGTCAGGTGGCCCTCCATCCCTGGTCCTCCGGTTACGCAGTCCTCATCCACATTAATGATCTCAATGGTGCGTGTGGGCGCATGGTGATTCTGCTGGTGGTGCTGTTTCCGCATTTTGTAAAAGATGATCAGCATGACCGCTGCCATGAGCGTGATTGCAACAAAACAGCCGATGATGATCTTGGTTGTCTTCATTACCTCATCCAAGCCATTTAGGGAGCCTTCGCCACCAAATTCAGTGACGGAGATTGTGTAAGTCTTCTCTGTGGCACGAGTAGAGACAGGGGTCCGCACTGTGGTGGTGGTTGTAGAGCTGGATGAAACAGACCTCCACGTATGAGCCGAGGGGGTGGGGCCGACCTTCTGTTGCACACTCGTGGTGAAGCCTTCATTGTGTGGCGTTTCGATCGTCTCGACGGTCACTGTAGTGAAGTAGCTGAAGCTGCTGTTCTCAGTTGAGGACACATTGAGTGTGGCGGACGCTGTTGTGTTACCGGCTGAATTGCTGACCATACACGTATATGTGCCAGTGTCTTGCATGGTAACGTTGGTGAAGTTTAGAGTGCCATCATTCAGCACTGAGATTCGGATCTTGTACGCACCGTGTGTCATAATGGAACCATTAGGCGTAATCCAGCTCACAGAAGTCAAAGAGTTGGCTCGACATTTCAACTCGGCAGCGCTCCCCTCAGTCACGTTTAGGTCAGCGGGGGGCTCCACAATCACAGGAGCATAACAGTGAAAGTAATTTTGGTCAAGCTCACCGATGTAACGCCCCTTGTGGTGAGCTGGTGAGCTACAGCGTGCGCAGCAGCTTGTGTTTGCTGGTACCATCTCCTTGAGCCACCAACTCAGCCAGAGTATGTCACAGTTACAATTCCAAGGGTTGTGGTGCAAATGCACCCTCTCCAGATGATGCAAAGGAGTGAACAGATCATGGGGCAAGAGCGTAAGGTTGTTGTGGGCTAAATTAAGCTCCACTAGTGACTGGAGATCATCAAATGAGTTTCTTTCAATAGTCTGGATCTGAGCATGCATCATCCATAGCTTCTGGAGATGGATGAGCCCCTTAAAAGAACCGGGCCGGACGACAGACAGCTGGTTCCCTGACATCTCCAGTTCATCCAGTTTCACTAAGGGAATGAGGTTGGGAATTTCCTTCAGATTACACATTCCCAGATTTAAGTAGCGAAGATTGCTCAGTCCTTCAAAGGCCCCCTCGGATATGTAGGATAGCCTTTTAAGCTCCCCCAGGTCCAGCCGCCGTAATGAGGGCACCCTGTTGAAGGCATAGGAGGGAATGCTCTCAATGGGATTATTCCTCAGCCATAACTCCTTTAGTTTGGACAGGTACTCAAATGCCCCATTTGGGATCGTGGTGAGGCGGTTATCGAAAAGCTCCAGGGTATTGAGGCTCGCAAGTCCATTGAAGGCCCCAAGCTCAATTTTGCGTATGTGGTTTTTACTCAGTTGCAGGATCTCCAAATGCCTTAAGTGCTTGAAGCTGTCCACTTTGATGACCTGGATGAGGTTTTCTTGGAGATTCAGGTAGCGCGTGTTGGTAGAAATGCCATCAGGGACTTCTCGTAGCCCCCTCCGTGTGCAGATGACTTTGCTGAATTGATTACTGCAGGAGCAGACGGAAGGGCACGTCTGAGCACGAACCAGACCCGCAACCACCAAAAGTTGTAGGGCCAGAAGCAGCACAAACAAAGGGTCGGACAAGGCCCGGTTCCACCTAGGACCACGCATCGTCTGCTGCTGCTGAGAGGAGGTCATCTTGTTTAACATTCATAATTCATTAAGTGATCTTCCACTTGCTGGAAAGAGGATTGGGGACAACTGGAATGACACAAAGCACAAGAAAATGTCTTTGAATGTGAGATAATATACAGGCCAAAAGCGTCCTTCAACTAATGTGGTACATACAAATAAACTACAATCATTATAGCTTTTGGTGTTGTGTTTTATTTGCATCTCATACAGCACAATAACTTTGCCTTTCATATGGAGTACCGGTAGATCATGTTTTGGAATCGATATTTCAGTGGCTTCAGTGACCTTGAAAAAGAGAAAGCACTCTAACTACAGAAATACAAAATATATACTACTCCTACTATGATAGATAGATGGATACTGGATAGATAGATCTTTTAAAGTGTCCGAAAGTTATTTTGCATGAGTATAATTGTGTCAGCAATGTACATGTGCTTATTTTACCCTTGATCAAACAATAATTGAAAAAAAATGCAATCATAAAAAATAATATCAATTGTGGTATAATTGTCTCAACCATGAATGAAATGCAGATTTAGACAAAGGCAGACAAATATTTTCAAAGGAGAACGTAATTATGAACATGACAAAAAGAGGCTCTTTAGTAACCATGAATCACGCTCATTAAACAATCAAATTGCTCTATTTTCTTCTTTGTATTTCAACCGACAGCGATAAATCATCAAATCCAAATTGAAGTACAAGAGGAGATGCCGCTATTCTAAAGCATTTATAATCCAGGCTTTCGTACACAATCAAAGTGATTTAATTGGGTTTTTGTTTTGCAAGACTGATTAAAAATGATTTTAAAAAATACGCAGTAACTACAAGACATCATATCAAGAAAATGAAAGAATTCTTCAACTTGAGTAAGATTGTCAACCGCCAGTTTCTCTTCATCCATCAGCAGTACATATTGATGGCCTAAATGAACAGGACGCTGGATCTTGAGGAGCACAATTGTTTTAGACAAATGAAGCAGTGTCCAGTTTATTATTATGATTCAATCATTCAGTGAGTCATTGAGTGCTATTTTTTTGATTGAATAATCAATGTATTGGGATAGACCAGGCTATGATGTAATGCTTTTATTCATACTGTATGAAAAACAAGTGAATTAAAACAAGAGGTGATCTGTTCTGGGTTGCGCGTCAGATCCAGATATTAATATAGCTGGTTTCACATGTCTGTGTCTATTCGTAGTCTCCTGCAAAATAAAGGAACGGTCCTCGCGTTTCCAATACCTGAAAGGGAATTTTGCTCAGTGACTTTTGAATGGCGACAAAATGTCTGACATGTCTAATTCATTGGATGTTCAATTTGCTTAGGTGATGCCACAGCTTCCCAAAAGGCCGAAAGCAGCCATGTTCAGCTCTGGTCCTCGAGGGCCGCCATCCTGCCTGATTCAAATGCTCAGCTCATCACCAAACTGAGGGATAATGATCCTGATGATTTGAATTAGGAGTGTTGGACGAGGGAGACGTGTAAAACATGCAGGACAGCGGCCCTTGATGACCGGCCTTCGACACGCCTGGCTAAAAGTATTTTCTCTTTTTGTCTTTCATTGTCACTAGATTCATTTGATTTCATTTGGTTCCTTTTGGGGAGAAAAAAGAACAAGGAAGTGAGGAAAATGAGTCTTGGCTGATGATGCTTATTATGATGTGAGAGTGGCTTACTGCTTTCAATTTGCATGTTATGCAGGAGGCATGATGATGTAAGATTATAGGATGAGAAGCATATATTACAGGGGAAGGTCGGCCCGTGTTCTACACTTGAAAGAAAAAGAGTGAAGACAGAGAGGGAGAGATTAATGAGATATAAATCAAATCGGGTCACTTCGTGACCATGCCTGCATTCCTGCAACAGCTCGAAATAGAAACCAAATTCCGACATGGATTCCAAAGTGGAATCTATATTAAACACAAGTCTTCCCTTTGCACACACCCTTTTCAATAGAGGTATAAATGTTGCATGGCTGGTTAAAGGTACAGGTCTGTACTCCTCACTGGATAATATTTTTTTTACAACAGCTGTTGCATTACTCATGACTCCAGCCACAGTATTGGATTTCACTCGTGGTAAAATTGGGCAAATCATTCTTCCAATGAGCCAATGTTTGTAGCTGCCGTTAAACCTACTTTGACTCCTCTGTTAATATTAGAAAATGGGGAACGAGGCCTTAAACTCTTGCAAACTCTATCAGTCTTCTATATTGTCCTTGAGACCATTAGTCTATACAGTAGACACTGTGTACTATATTTCAAAAAAAAAAAAAAGGAAAAGTAAACAATCTGGTGTGTATTTAGACCAGATGTCGGAAGCATGCGGCTCCAGAGCCACATGTGGCTCTTTGATCCTTCTACCGTGGCTCTCTGTGACTTTAGGGAATACAGTCAATCATGAGTACTTTCTATAATATCATTAAATATATTTTAATGAGTAAAATGAGGAGTCAGAGCCACCGATGTGCAATGCCTGCCGTCAAGATTTATTGAGCTATTCGCCTGTCGGTAGGTGAAATCATGGATAAATCAAGAAAACAAAAAATAAATCTAACAAAAAGAGAACATTTAATGCTATGCCCTATTATATGAAATACAAACATCGCTTGCGTAACCTCACAGGTGACAGTTTAAAATCTTGAGTGTGAAGATGAAGGTGACGTCTTACAAAAATCTGGGTAAAATATTGAACTGGGTAAAATATCTATTTTAATGGACTCTTAGTTTACAAATATACCTGGAGTCCTTTTTAGTTGAAGTTGATAGCAGTGAATTCCCCTTGCAACCTCAGAGGAGCATCTAAATGAGGCATTCATTCGCCGCCAGTGCCCCCCCCCCCCCATTCACAATTGGTTTCTGATGGGTAAAATCCGTCTGCAACCGCACGTTCGCATCAGGCATCGACACACGGTTGCACGCTACTGGGAACGCACGTGATCCAATGATGACAGCACACAGATGCAGACAGAATTTTTGCTTCGCTGCGAGTGGATGATTTACGTTTGGCTTTCATTTCATAAACACGAGGACTCAAATAGAGACTATTTTATTTGAAAGTCAGCTTCAACCAAGAGTCTTTTTTCATAGTTTTGAATGTTTTTGTTACATAAAAATTTAAAAGGACACTTTCTTTGGAGCAGTTCCATGATGTAATATACTGTTTTTTTTTTATACATACAGGGGAAAAAAACAACCCCCCCCACTAAAAAAAACATACGCGTTATTGTCACTTTTGATATCAAAAAGGTTTTCTTAACGCCAGGTGATTTTTTTTGAATTTATTTATTTTTTTGTGAGACTGTTCAAATGGCTCTGAGTATTTAAGTTGGACGACCCCTGATTTAGACAATGAGGTATGAAAGTAGGCCCATCCTTTAGATACTGAAAGATGGGACTGCAACTAGGGGTCCCAAATGGTGGTGCATTATCTGTTTTTCAAAAACCAAAATGCCAGACGTATGGTACAGAACCAAACTATTATTTTAGATTTGATTTCATTTAAAATTTAAATGGAAGAAAAAAAAACTGGAGCATGAATGGGTGGCAGTTATGTGACATCCCCGCCATGTCATTTAGAAGCGTGTACTCTCTCATTTTAACAACTTTATTCTCATGTAGGATAGGGTTGGTTTCATTTGAATAAATTATGAGAGCAGAATTCATAACATGTACTTATTTCTGGTTTGTTCAACCTCACATTGCACGTTTGACATTTATTTCAGTGTTTTTCGATGTTTTTGTCAGGAATTTAAATATGCATCAGCAAAGTCAGGTCGGCTCATACTTTTGAAGCTGTAAGAACGGTCTCCAGAGAGCTGTTGAAGCCTCACAGTCTTCACTATGGCTTACATTGGTCTTTCTTCTGAATAATAGTCGCTGTAAGTCCTGTGTCAATGCTCACACAAACAAAAACATAAGTTTAAAGCAGTGATATTGTGCTTTTAGATTTCTTACTCATTTTAATTCTTGCAACTATTCACACCTCATTTCCGAGATAAGGTACCGTAAATGTTTTTCTATCCATTCACATTTTATCCCACGTGTCCACAGTCGGGTAAACTGGAGCCTATCCCTGCTGAATTTGGGGAAGTACCCTGGACTGGTGAATTTGCAGGCGACATATACTGTACACCATAGGTGTCAAACTCAAGGCCTGGGGGCCAGGTCTGGCCAGCCTCATCATTTTATGAGGCCTGTGAAAGCAAATCAAACTTGTAAACTTCCATGACTGATGCTTGCAGAATTTCACATTCTCATATGTAATAACTAAAAAATATTAGTATTGTCTTGTTACTAAATCCCTCATTACAGTCACTTAAACAATAGTTGAATAAACAATTATTCTTGACTTCTTTATATGGTTTGACAGTCATATGGTTTGACTACAATGTGGCCTGCGACAAAAACGTGTTTGACATCCCTGCTGTAGACCAAATAGCCATTCACATTTACATTCACTTCCATGGACAATTTAGACTCTTTGGTGTACTCTACAGGACTTTAACATTTACAATATGGGTTTATATATTATGCCCTGCAATAGAATGACGACGAGTTCAAGGGCAGTCAGCTGGTTTAGGTTCCAGCACAACCGTGAGCCTAGAGAGGATAAGCAGAACAGAGAATGTATCAATGGGGTTTATATATTATGACCAAATTTGAATAGTTGCGCTTTATCATTTTCCTTTTGAAAGACCATCTCTTTATAAACGTGGAAAATATGACAGCCATTTTTGGGGACATAAAGTTCACTTGGCCAATTACATTACTATGCAAAGTTTTGTAGAGATACGCAACTCAATTTTACTTCTAGAGCACAGAAAACAACCACAGCTTCTTAAAAGTCCTATACATACAGTTACACAATAACAATAATGAGTCTCGTAGAAGATGATATGTGTGAGGCAATGGCTATTGCTTGATCACAGCATCCAAGACAGACGCATCCTTAAGCCAGTAGAAATATGCCAGTTGTTGGAACTTTGCCTGAACACCGCATACTTTAAATTTGTGAGAATATTTTACAGACAAAAAGAAGGCTCTGCTCTGGGCTCCCTGGCA